TTGTTGTTGTTGTTGTTGTTGTTGTTGTTGTTGTTGTTGTTGTTGTTGTTGTTCCTGCTGCTGCTGCTTCTGCTGCTGCTGCTGCTGCTGCTGCCGCTGCTGCTGTTGTTGCTGCTGCTGTTGCTGCGGTATCGTTTTGCTCTTGAACACGCACTTTGCTTCCCGTTCCTCTGCTGCTGCTGCTGCTGCTGCTGTAGGCAGCCTTAGGAGGTGTAATACTGCAGCAGCTGCTGCGGCGGCTGGCAGCAAAGCAGCAGCAAGCAGCAATTATTCGTCTTCGTGGTGGGGGCCCCTCAGAGGGGCAGCTGCTGAATCTCGCCGTTCAAATGTTTCCTAAGTAAGCAGCAGCAGCAGCAGCAGCAGCAGCAGCAGCAGCAGTAGGAGAGTAGGAACAGGTAGGATGGAAACAGCAACAGCAGCAGCAACAACAACAGCAAAAGCTGCAGCAACAGCAGCAGCAGCAATCCCCCATCATCCTTTTGACAGACAGACTTTCGCTGCTGCTGCTGCTGCTGCTGCTGCTGCTGCTGCTGCTGCTGTTGCTGCTGCAGGCTGCTGCCCCCAGATTGGCGTGAGCTGGAGGTAGCAGAGCAGGCTCAGCGTTTACAAAAAGAATATACGTTTTTATTAAAGCCGACGAGGCAGCATCTAGCTAGCTGCAGCACTTTGCTGCAGATACACCGCCTTGCTGTTGCTAGCAGCACCTACAGGGTGCTTAAAGCAGAAAACAGAAACAGAAATCTGTACGAAACCCTAAACCCTAAACCCTAAACCCTAAATTGTAAAGCTTTACTAAGATGGAGGCTTCCTATCGCAACCGATTCCGCTTTCCTGGGGGTGTCGATAGACAAACAACCGTTCAGGGTTTAGGGTTTAGGGTTTAGGGTTTAGGGTTTAGGGTTTGTGTGTGTGCAGGATAGCTGCGTTTGCTGCTTTGGGGTGTCTGGTGTCTGGACATCGCCGGCTGCAGCTGCTTGAAGCATTTTGTCGTTTGCGTTTTGCTGCTGCTTGCACAACGCTGCTGCAGCAGGAAGCAGCAGCAGCAGAAGAGAGAATTAAAAGAGCAGCACAAAACGCACAAGCGGAGGTTTGGGGGCTGCTGCAGCAGCATGGCAGATGCAACACTGCTGCTGCTGCTGCTGCTGCTGCTGATGCGGGGGCCGGCGGTGGGAGCTATGCTGCTGCTGCTCCTGCTGCTGCTGCTGCTGCAGCAGCAGCAGCACGTAATGGAATGAACGCATGCAAGGCCAACCTCCAACTGCTGCTCAGCCCCAGTGCAACCTATAACTCTCCAAGGCAGCAGCAGCAACAGCAGCAGCAGCAACAGCAGCAGCAGCAGCAAATTGCAATGCCGACGAAAACACTCTCCTCGCAGTTCCGCGTCTATTCGAGTGCTGCTCGGCCCTGCAGCGCATGCATCCCAGAGCAGCAGCAGCAGCAGCAGCAAGACCAGCAGCAGCAGCAGGTGCCGGATATTCACCGCGTCCGCAGCAGCAACAAGGGAAGCAGCAGCAGCAGCAGCAGCAGCAGCAATGATGATCCAGAGCAGCAGCGTATTTATGAATCCTTTGTCGACCCTCAGAGCCCTCTGCTGCAGCTCTCGCAAAGCCCGAACATGCAGCAGCAGCAGCAGCAGCAGCGGCGGCAACGGAAGAAGGAGCGCTGCTGCTGCTGTTGCAGGAGCAAGTCATGCACTTCTGCTGCAGAAGCTGCTGCTGCCGCTTCTGAGAAGGTGCGACTGGAGGCAGAGACAAACGAAAAATTGTCGCGTTTAATGAAGGAGGAGCAGCAGCTGCAGCAGCAGCAGGTGCTGCTGCTGCACCAGATGGAGCAGCAGCAACAGCAGCAACAGCTGCTGCTAGATCAGCAGCAAAAGCTACAGCTAGAAACCTTCGGTAGCGGCAGGCCTAACGCTGCATACTACAGCGAGGGGGCCCCGCTGAGAGCAGCAGCAGCAGGAGCAGCAGCACCAACGCCTGCAGCTGCTGCAGCTGCTCGTGCTGCTGCTGCTGCAGGAAGCCTCGCAACAGAAGAAGCATCTTTAACTCCAAGGGACGGAGAAAGACCCTCTGCTGATTTGTTTGTGCCTTCGCAATCTTTGTCTAGATGTTCAAGCGAGGTGCAGCAGCAGCAAGATTATTTGCTGCAGCAGCAAGAAGAGCTGCTGCAGCAGCAACAAGAAGAACTGCTGCAGCAGCAAGATCCCCTGCTGCAGCAGCAGGAATATCTGCAGCAGCAGCAACAGCAGCAGCAAGAACACCGCCAACGCCTGCTGCTGCCAAGCAGATACAACAAACACAAAACCATCTCTCCCTCTAGACACAGCCGCAAGTATCAGCAGCAGCAGCAGCAGCAGCAGCAGCAACAGCAGCAGCGGCTGCTACACCCTTATGATTACCACAGCCACAGGGTCCACGTCGTTAGTCGCTCATGCTCCTCTCTATCCAGTTCGTAGCAATCCAGCTAGCTACAGCTAGCTACAGCTAGATACAGCTAGCTCCAGCTAGCTACAGCTAGATACGCCTAGCCAGCTAGCTACAGCTGCCTAAAGCTAGCCAGCTAGCTACAGCTAGCTAGCTAGCTACAGTTAGCCAGGTAGTTACAGCTAGCAAGCTAGGTCCAGCTAGCTACGGCTAGCCAAGGAGCTACAGCTAGCTACACCTACCTAGCTAGCTACAGCTAGCCAGCTAGTTGGCTGGCTGGGTTTACTTTGAATTCCTTTTGACTTTAAACCCTCAGAGGTGGGGGTCTTCGGAATTTGATTTGTACGAAGGCTTTGCGCTTTTTAAAACCCTAAACCCTCGCGTAAACCCTAGAGTGTAAACCCTAAACCCTAGAAACTGTACTTGTACGCCTGAATCCCTAAACCCTAAACCCTAATTCATCTTCTCCATTCGAAATAAAGTCTGTAGGTAAAGTGAAACCCTTATAGCTCACACTCGCCCTCGACTAAACCCTAAACCCTAAACCCTAATCCTTATGTAATACCCTCCTGTTTCAAACCCTAAACATAACCCCTTTCCTCTCTTTCCATTCTAATCATCGAAGGCAATATTTTATTTATTGAATTCAAAGAACAATAAACGAAAAAATTAGAAAGAAAAAATAAAACTAAGTGGTTAATAAAACAAGAAAAGACAGACAAATATTTGTTTTTCTTTTTATTTATTTTTAGAGACAAATTATTTCTTCCAATTCGCCGCAGTTTGGCGAACTTCCGTCTTTTTAAATACACAAATAATATACGTGCATATATATATATATATACATGTACAAATATATACATATATATATATATATATATATATGTTATGTATATATCATTGCTCTGCAGATGATGCATGCGCACAATGCATAAAAATTACCTGCATATAAATGTAATATATATATATATATATGTATATATATATATATGCACGTGCATATTAATATACACACAGCTTTCTAATTATTTTTTATTTAAAACTAATCTCTACCTCCCGTGCCTAATAAAGTAGCCGCAAATTTCTTCGTTTTTTTGTCGTTTGCTTCGCCGTTGTGTTCAAATGTTCAAATAATTTTTTCCAACATTGGAATTGGTGAGGGGTTTTGAAAAAAAGGAAACAGCGAATTTGCTGTCGTCAGGGTTTAGGGTTTAGCGCTGTCAGAGTTTACGGTCTGGCGCTGTTAGGGTTTAGGGTTTAGGGTTTAGGGTTTAGCCGAAGCTGATAAGGAGAGGTTCTTCGTTTGCTTCTCCATCGCAATTTAAGAAGTTTTCATTGCTTGTCTCTGGTGTTGCTGTTAAGAAGTCAAGCACTGATTTCTCTTCTTCTTTTTCTTCTTTGTCGTGTGCAGTTGTTTCGTTTGTATTTTCTTGTTTTATCTGTTCGAATGCAAAGCGAGAAGAGTAAAAAGAATAAACGACAAACAAAGCAAAATAAAATAAAAAATATATTACCTGTTGACTAGATATTGAAGAGACAGCTTTCTGTTGCTGTTCTGCTGGCGTTGTTTTTGTGTCTTTTTCATGGATTTCCTGTGCTGAAGATGTTTAAAAGAGTAATGCATTAAAAACAAGTAATTCGTATTTTCTTGTTTATACACAAACCATTCGTTATCTCCGCATCTAAAAGAACTTTCCAAAGTTGTATAAACCAGAAGGAAGCGACGCCTATTCAATTAATAAATAATTAATCTCCCGGAAGTAATAACGAAACAAATACAACAAAATTTAATTCAATTCAAACACTTTGTCTTCTGTCTTTCAGGTTTTATTTCCTTTGACTTACAACTCCATAGAGTAGCGCAGTTCTGCATTTAAAAGAAATATCGAAATTATAAATAAATTAAATTAATTTTTTTGAGTTTCTTTCGATTTGTACTCACCCAGAAAAGACGCTTGAAAGAACGCACGTTCGTTCCGTCTGAATTTCATGTTTTGAATTACAACAAATAAATAAGATAAATAGTATTAATTAATTAATTAATTAATTAATTATTCTTATTCAATGAATGAATAAGATGAATAATATTAATTACTTATTAAAACTTATTCATGTTTTGTATCACAACAAGTGAATAAGATGAACAAGTCTAATTAAGTAATTAACTAATCAATTCATTTATTAGATTAATTAAATTAATTAAATTAAAAACAACTTACAACAAATTGCGTTGTGGATCTGACTGAATTCATATGCTAAAGACAGCATTACCATCGGTACGAGTAGTCGGCGAACGATGGAGACACGAAATCTTCTTAAAGCAAAAAGACAGCAAACGCCAGAAAACATTCTGAAGTAAATAAACAAATAAAAGAATAAATAAACATACTAATGATTTAATTCATTCATAATTGTCAATAATTTTACAGAAATTAGCAAACAAATGCACGTATTTGAATGCATGCATCTGCTTATTCCTTCGCTTAAAGGAAACAAACAGATACACATTATTTGATTAATATTTCAAATAGTAAACAAATATACCCGTTTGCATATAAACACTGAATAAACAAACAAATGCATGCAACAACATTTTGCATGCATTTGCATGAACTTTTCGCACGCACACAACTAAGCAAATTAATAACTAAACAACAAATAAATAAACCCATTTGCATGTTTGAGTTTGAAAGCATTTATCGGTTTCCTTTTTTATTTAATATTTGCAATGAAAGCGAAAAACTCACTGAACAGCCGCTCCAAGGAAATCCTGAAAATTTTTGAAATTCAGACTCCATAGTAATATTGTTTAGTATTATTATTATTATTATTGTTAAATTATTCTGATCAAAGTTCAAACTTACTTCATGATGTAAACGAAAACAACCTCCTATTAGCTGCGATGCTGCAATAATTGCGCAGTAAAGCCAATTGCCGTCGACGACGAACTTCAACATTTTTGAAAAGATGAAGAAGAGGAATATTTCTTCGTTTTGCAGGTAAACGCAGAGAAATATAAATGCAAACAAGTAAATATGAACAAGAATAAGAAAATACAAATATACAATATATAAAATATAATATATATCTGAAGATATTTCAGGAAACAAAAAGAAATAAAACAGAAAGCGAAATTCACAACTCTTGAAACCATTTCAACTTTCGCGTGTATGTACACCTCAAGAAGAGATTATGCATTGGAATAGCAGCAATTATAATCTATTTTAAAAATAGATATATTTATCTAAATGTTTTAATTTCTTATATATATCTGAATTTAAAATTCATATATATATTGACTGCATTTGCAGCGTCAATTTCATTTCAATTTGAGATTCTCCTCTAGTGAAGGTTTCTGAATATTTATTAAGAATGCAAAAAAAGAAAAGTTTTTAAATAATTGTTTAGAAATATTATTTTATTCGTTTTTGTTCTTCCAGACATCGTAAATATATTTTGTTTTCGTTGGTTTTATGTTTGTTTCTTCTGCTTATAAACCAACGTAGAACAGGAAAGAGCAAATATAATTATTTGCAACACAACACTTTGCGGTTTCTTCCTCCTTTAACTTGATTAATAATAATAATAATAATTATTATTATTTTTATTATTATTTTTATACGAATAATAATAGCAATATAACTATTATTACAAATAGGAATAATAATAATTATTATTATATACGAATAATAACAGCAATATAACTATTATTATAAATATGAATAATAATAATAATAAGATTGTTTAGTTCCCTCAACAAGCATCAGGTGTAGCGCCATTGAATTAATTGTCTATTTCTACTTTTTGGAGTTTGTTTGAATTTAAATCGGAAGGAGACTGAACAAGAAGATCTTCAGCAGCTTCGATAGCAGCCTGAATTTTTCTTTTTTTTGCATTGATTTCATCATATGTTTGTTTTGTGTTTATTTCTGCTGCTCTTCTTCTCTCTTCTGCTAAATGCTGAAGTGCTGAGGCTTCTTTTAAGCATTTCTTCTGCAACACTTCAAAACTTTTCTTATCCAACTCCTCACGCCGTTCTCTCATTGCAGCCGCCACCTTCATCTCCTCACGCGCAATCAAAGTGCCCGTCTTAAACTGCAAAACCACAAACCCTAAACCCTACAAACCCTAAACCCTAAACCCTAGGAGAGGTTCGGTGTTTGCAGCAGAGATTCAAAATGGCAGCTACACGCAGGAAGCTCATGGCCGTACTTCTTTCAGCCACATCCTATAAATGTAAACCCTAAACCCTAAACCCTAAACCCTAAACCCTAAACCCTATGGCGGGTCCAGAGCAACGAAACCTGGTGCAGGCGATGTGAATTCCTAAATCCCAAACCCTAAACCCTAAACCCTAAACCCTAATCCTTCCAAGGCGACTCATCGCGTTCAGTTGATGCAAACAGCCTCATTATTTTCCCTATGCCGTAAACCCTAAACCCTAAACCCTAAACCCTAGACTGTAAACCCTAAACCCTCTTACTTGTTGAATTCGTGTGAGTATTTGCTGCTGCAAGTGCAGCAATTCCTGTACATCTTGAGTGCGCGACAGCAGCAGCGAGAAGTGTCTTCCTATCCTGCCTTTCGATAAATTTAATAACTGTTGAAATGCAGAAAAAGCTTCGCACCATTCTTCTTCATCGCGTTCATTTGGCGTTAGTCTGGTGTACATACACCCAAATAAAATAAACAAAGACAAACCTAATAACTCGCACTCAACTGCTATGCATCATTATTATTAGGGTTTAGGGTTTAGGAGGGAGGGTTTAGGGTTTAGGGTTGTTTAGTATGGAAGCAGATCATTCTACTGCCATTGGCTGCTTCTCTTGATGTTTATCATTAACCTGCTGCTGCTGCTGCTGTCTATGCTGCTGCTTCTGCTACCGTCTACGCTGCTGCTTCTGCTGCTGTTTATGCTGCTGCTTCTGCTATTGTTTATGCAATTGCTTCTGCTGTTGTCTATGCAGGCGTATCTGCTGCTGTTTACGCCCCTACTTCTGCTGCTGCTGCTGCTCCTGCTGTTTCTGATTCCACTGTTGCTGCTACTGCTACTGCTACTACTGCTGCTGCTGCTGCT